TGTCCCCCTCTCTGTACAGGGGGCACGTTAGGTCAGGCACCCGTTTTTTTATTCCTGATTGATAGCACCGTGTTATGGCTCCCACATATATTACATGTTCTGTTTCCATTTTCTATAGGTCAAATGATGTGGTTCTTAGCTTTGTTATAAGGAGTGTAAAAAAGAAATAGTAGAGTGAATACGTGACTACGTGATCTACGTGAGTAACGTGTGAGAAACGAAAACGGGGTGTGGGGGCCGACATGTTTACTCGTAGGTTGGCGGCATTTTATATGTAGTTAACGCTCCTCCGGCGCCAAAGTTGCGGGCGCGCGAAAATTGATTAAACCGCATCACAAGCGTGTATGTACACATGCTTTGTTAATGCACGCCCGGGCAACGCCAGCGCCCAATGAACATTCGCGTGCGCGCTGCGGAGAAGACAAGAAAACGCCAAGCAATCGACACTGTAGCAAAGCATTAAGGCAGGTCAGAATAGGAACAGACATCAAAGAGGATCATGGCTTGACACTTGCAGATAAAGAAAAGTTTATTAAGGGAAGAGGCAGAGGGAATTAAAGTTATGGAACAATTCGATACTTTAACCGGATTTCAACGTGACTTAGCCACAACATCATGGAGGTATTCTACCCTAGCAAGAAAGCGTTTCTTGCTAAGTCGTAGTAAGTCTAGTAGGTAGTGACCCTAGGGTCGGTCCAGCCAGTGAGTAATTTCACGTCACGGATGTGCAATTATTTATATTAAATGTGGGATTCATTTCTCGCTCCCTTACGAGGACGGCGGATTGCGCCGGGTTGTGCAGTAAGTGTAATTATTCACTGCTCTTGCGCTAACTCCAACACCGACATGTCAAACGACAGGCAGAAGAGATCCAGAACCATAAGCTGAAGCGGTAACTTGGTTCAGTCTAAGTAAACTTTTATTATGAACAAAATAATAATATTAGTAGGTCTTTTACCTATCGCACTTAGACATAAGCAGGTACTCAGTGATAAACAACCGTATAAGAGGTAGGTGCTCACCCAGGTATCTTAATACTGGTGACCTATCATGTATGCTGTCGAATTTCGTGCATCACAGATGTCGCATTATGAACGGATAAATATAAACTGCTCCGAATCTCGGCGCATTATAGCTCGTGACGTCCGAATATAGTAACCTACGGACAAGCAGCTAGCTCAGCGAAATCGTCGGCGGCAAAAATCTCTTCTCCGAATATGCTAAGACCTACGGGAAACAGAGCTGCTGGGCCGAATCTCCGGCGCACAATCCTGTCTGGCCGAAGTACACGTAAACTATCGGGAACAGAGCTGGCGTCCGGAATACTCGCGCACAATCCTCTGTCTCCGAATAGCCACGTAACTCTAAACGGGAACAGAGCTGCTCCGAATCTCGGCGCACAATCTCTGTCTCCCAATACACGGAATTATACGGAGAGCTGTATGGGCTATGGGGTACGGTGCGTACTACTATACCGAGGGGTAACTAACGTTATATATCCACTAATCCGAAGGCTATATATAGACTACGACTCGCTCCCGCCTCGATTAGGATTTGCATGGTATCATCAGTGTGTGCTGTACGTGCGGGCTTGATCTTGCTGCGAGCGGCGGGGTGCAAAATGACAACCGATCAATCACCGGCGTCCTAAGATGGCTACGATAATGAAAACGCGCGGATTGTCACGATGCCAGGTTAAGACTCGTAGGACTTATATTCGGGCAAAGTCTGGCTTTCGCTACAGGACTAGAAGTTAATAGTTAACTGGCAAGCGTGTCAAATTCTCGCACCCGCGCGCCAGTCTAACGAAAAATTGTCCCCTGCGAAATTGCCTCGAAGAGAGCCTCGCCTGGCGCGATCTATGGGCCGCGATATGTATGAGAATAACTCAGGGCGTTAAATTAAATAAAGTTAGAAATCGCTGTTTTATAGAAAGAACGTACCGGGGCGGTCGGAGGAGAAAGAAAAAACACCAATTACATGACGGCATTGGATCATTCTCCGCCTACGTGGCAGTAGCGCGTGTGGCTTCCTGCAATGCGCCAGAACTGGCTGAATATGGAGCCGATTATACGTGCTTTATCCTACACCAGAAGGGATTCTGGGTAAATATAGTTACCACCAGATTGGGGCAGCGATTGTCGGTAATGGCACCACAGGTGGCTGCTGGTCGCGCTTCGCGGCATACACGGGCGCCTGCAGTGCGTCAAGTCATCAACACTTGGCGCCCGCCGCAGCGCCAAGTGTAGCATGATTTCGTAACGAAATCAACTTCCGCGAGTAGCTGATCATTCGTAACGAAATCACTACGCAGTAAGTTGATGTTCGGTAGACGAGAATCACTTTGTAGAACTTGAATTTCGTTAGCGAATAATGATTCGTAACGAGAATCAGTCAGTGCGACACTTTGGCGCCGGTGGGGAGGGCCAGTAATGGCCGCGCTTGACGCGCCAGCGGCAGACTGTATAAGCGCGGGCTCAACTAGAGCTGCAATAGGGTCCTATGTCCCCAGAGGGTACGGGCGGCGAAACGTACGCCTGGGTACGGTCCTGTTATACCGGAACAATCACGAGGAAATTATCTGATATGGTAGAGTTAGGGGGGGGGAGTAGGCGTGAGGCGACGTCCGCTAAAGACTCGTTATGAGTGGCGAGTACGGTCCGGCATATTAGATAGTACCAGGGCAGGGTATAACCGGACCGTACTCAGGTAGCGTTCCGGCAATGTACCGCTGGTGACCCTCCTCACGTTACTAGACTTATGTTTGTGAGTATAGCGCTTGAATGTCTAACAATGACATACTGAATCAGGCACAATGTATGAAATATACAAATTGAGTTTAAACCGGTCAAAGTACAATGCGTACATTCCGTAAAGAAACTATAACAGAATCTTCTTCCTGAATTCAACCGAATTATTTTAACGAAAATCATAGCTCCTCTAGCTGCCGTCTATAATGTTTCTACCTTGTCATGCAGACATTTCTTAACAGTCATACTTAAAACCGGTAAAATAAGAAACGAATTTGTCCTAAACTTGCTGTTGGTAGAGAGATCTAAACTTCAATTGCAGTATATTGAATTAATTGAATTATTGAATATAAAGTAGAATCAAAAGTAGAAAATTTAATGATCTATGCTTTTGCCCTGACCATAATCCTTACCCCTCGGCCGGAGCCGGGCGGACTGCCGACTTTCCCGCTGACCAAAGTGACCATCACCTGAAGCAAACGCCACTTGATATAGGAGTACACGAGTATAGAGTGCTTATACGTGACCTGATGATCGCAATATACCATCATTGTAACATCAACAGTGCGGGGCAGGACACGCATAAATTTTCGATAGTTATACACACAAATACGCACACCGCGCACCCCCACAGAGAGAGTGGAAGCGAACGAAGAGAAGAACAATTGCGGAGAGAGGGGCCCGGGAGGGAGAAAGAAAAAAAGAGGTGGGAAAGAGGTAGGTATAAGGGAGGAAGGGAGAAGGAGGGAGAGGAAGAGAGAGAGAGAGAGAGAACAGCGAGCGAGAGAGAGAGAGAGAGAGAGAGAGAGAGAGAGAGAGAGAGAGAGAGAGATGGGTATGATATCATAGATAAATATATTATGTCACAGACGATAACCGGTGGTTTCCCGAACACGGCACACTCATTCTCGCAGATAAGGTCTATGCATGTCTCCCTGGGTACTGACGGAACGTACTCGGGGTACGGTCCGGTATCCCGGAACGTACCCTGGTAACTATCTGATATGGTTAGGGTTAGGGAGTAAGCGTAGGCGACTCCTTAGACTCGTTAGTGGAGTAGGCGAGGTACGGTCCGGCATATTAGATAGTACCAGGGTACGTTCCGGCATATTAGATAGTACCAGGGTACGGTCCGGCATATTAGATAGTACCAGGGTACGTTCCGGCAGTAGGCCTACCCAGGGAGACACACCCTACGGGCCTCATTCTCAGGCACGTGCCCCGTCTCTCTTCCGCCTCTCTCTATAATCAGGGCCGTAGGATGAGCAAATTTCTAGCGGGACAAAATTTCATGACAGTCTCATGATGTCATGATGTCAAATGATGTCCTCATGATGTCAAATTTTATGACTGTGTAATGATGAGCGACGGTCACAGCTCTTCATCGACGTTCATTGTGTGGTAGCAGGGGCGGATTCAGACCGTATTTGCCGTATTAGGAAAATCCAAAATACGGTCTAGATTTCAAAGTGCCCTTCGAAATTTTGCGCTAAAAAATACAAAAAACAATTTGATGGAATTTGGCTATATTCTGTATTTGTTTTTTTTCTACTGATTATTTGACAGGACTTGAAGGAAATCAAAATTTTACATGGTAACAAAACTAGCTTTGATATCTGAAAAAGAAGGGAAGTGCTTGAATCATTCCGCATTAATTGCTGTTATACAAAGCGCAAGCAAAATAAGGCAGAAATAAAATTCCATATGGTTTTTAGCTATTGCTGCTTGACTAAATGTGTGCTCAAATGGTGCTCATGTTTGTGCCCAGGGACCCTTGAAATTTTGAAATTTCCCGTGGGAGGCCCCCCAGACCCCTGCCATGTGCTTCCGCGCCTAACGGCGCTCCCTGTGGGGTGATGTGCCCTTTTTGGGGGATGTGCCTTGAAAATCTGGAAAAATACTGTCTGGCTTCAGCCCTGGGTCCGCCCCTGGGTAGGGGTGGGTCTGAGACAAGGCTTTCAGAGATATAAGTGACCAAAAAATCACGTTAGGGTTATTTACGATTATTAGGCTAGCTAAGCTTATTTGTTGTTTGGCTCCAAAATAGGGGGGTAGATGACCCCCTGCCACACAAGAGGCTACGGCCCTGATAATTCTCTCTCTTTATCGAGTTTCGCTGCGATCCCTAGAACTTTATTAAACCGTGTCAATTAGCAAGCGTCAGCAGCAGTTTAACAGCTATCCACCAAAACGTCTCATTTCGCGTTTTCCTTAGGCGAGAGATGGCGCCACCATACACTGATTATACTGTTCCGTGGCCATGATAGCATCACTCAGCATTTAGTAACAACATCTACTTATCGAGCAACGCCTAGTCGGCGCTATATCACGGAGATATTACATTGACTTTTTAAAGTACATTACTATTTACTGACAATGGCATTTAGCTTCAAGAAACTAACAGCTGACGCTTCAACGGCTTTTACACGTGCCAAGCAGGTAATTAATACATTGTCATTGAGCAAGCCTATGTAACATTGTGACTGTGAGTGTGAGTCTGACTGTCACGATTGTGTGGTACGTTTGTAATTTATCGGATCTGCTTATAGTAACTTTGTAGTTATATTTATATTATTATAATTTTATATATATATAATATAATATATAATATAGTATTAGTAATACTTTATTATATTGTAAGGATAACACCATCTACTAGCACTACTAATACTGTAACTATGATCCAGAGCTTTGGCACAGCTTTGAGCACTGTTGACAGTGTTGTATCTTGTATCTTAGGTCTCTCTCTTGTCTTTCACAAGGCACTCTAATGCAGGTGCGGGGATTATCTAAAGAAACAATTAGCTCAACTTAGCTGTTGATCCTGAGCGCTGCGAGCGGATGAGACGCGCAGTTCTGCGGGATATGCGCACGCGACCGCGGGCAGGGCTCGACTTTAACGGTGGCCCGGGTGCCAATGGCCACCTGAAACTGTCGGGTTGGTGGCCCGCCTGGCCACCAATAAAAATAAGGCCGTGGCTACGCGACCGGTTCCGGACGAGGAGCCGCTAGGAGCACGACACGTACACGCATGATTGCGCAAGGGGACGCTCTGCTGATTGCCGAGTGTGTGTGTACGTGTGTGTGTGCGTATGCACGTGTGTGTGTGTGTGTGTGCATGTGCCCGTGCGCGTGCGCGCGCGTGTGTGTGAATCGCAACAAGCGATTCTGAGAATGTGAATCGCAACAAGAAACACGTGCAATCCATTCGCTACCCATCAGCTGTGTGTTCGTTGCGCAATTCATTTCTCTACGAGTTCAAGACAAGTGCGTACATACCAGAGTGTATGTATAGAGAGGGGTGTAGGGATGATACACTGTAGCGACAGGAAGGGTGTAGCCCGGGGAGGGGTGTAGGCATGATACACTGTAGAGACAGGGAGGGATGTAGGGATGATACACTGTAGAGAGCAGGTGAGGGTGTTAGGGGGAGGGGTGTAGGATGATTCACTGCTAGAAACAGAGAGGTGTTGCGGCGGAGGGGTGTTCGAGGGATGATACACTGTAGAGAGAGGGAGCAGGTTGGCGGCCGGTGTAGGATGATACACTGTAGAGACATGAAAGGTGTAGGCGAGGGTGTGCGAGGGAGGATTCACTGTAGAACATGAGAGGGTGGTAGGGGGAGGGCGAGGGATGATACACTGTAGAGACAGGAGGTGTAGGATGATATCACTGTAAGGAAGGAAGGTGAGGGCGAGGGGTGTAGGGATGATTTCACTGTAGAAACAGAAGGTGTAGGGAGTGGGGTGTAAGGATGAACACTGTAGAAACAGGAGGGTGTAGGGAAAGGGGTGTAGGCATGATAATACACTGTAGAGACAGGAGGTGTAGGGGGAGGGGTGTAGGGATGATTACACTGTAGAGTGTAGAGACAAGGGAGTGGGTAGGATGATACACGTAGAGACAGGGAGGGTGTAGGGGAGGGGTGTAAGGGATGATCACTGTAGAGAAGCAGGGAGGGTGTAGGGGAGGGGTGTAGGGATCGATACACTTAGAGATACAGAGGGTTAGGGGGAGGCTGGTGTAGGGGATTATACACTGTAGAGACAGAGAAGGGTGTAGGGGAGGGTGTAGGGATATACACTGGTAGAGACAGAGAGGGTGTAGGGGAAGATGTAGGGATATACACTGTAGAGACAAAGAAGGGTGTAGGGGGAAGTGGTTAGGGATTGATACACTCTAGAGACAGAGAGGTGTAGGGGGAGGGGTGTAGGGGAGGGGTGTAGGGATGATACCTGTAGAGACAGGGAGTGGTTAGGGATGAACACTGTAGAGACAGAAGGGGTAGACACTGAGGCAGGGGTGTAGGGATGGATAGCACTGGTAGAGACAGGGAGGTGTAGGGGGGGGGTAGGGATGATACACATTGTAGAGGACATGAGGTGTAAGGGAGAGGGGTGTAGGGATGATAACGACTGTAAGAGACAGAGAGGTGTAGGGGTGTAGGGATGTGCAAAAGAGACCAGCAGCTGAGCCAGACTCTGATGGGTCTGACCCAATGTCAGAAATTCATTCCGATTCATCAGAAGGTTCAGATGACAGTCAAACTGACATTGAATGATTGAAGGACAGTTTTGATTGACATCTTAATGACATGAGTTCTGCTACTTAATAAAGATACTGGCAGAGGATTTGAAAGCTTTTTAATATTTGAAAACTTATTTAACTCAGTCAGAGTTTTGTTCTTTCTTTGTTGTTGTCGTAATCTAGTTATGTTATTGCGATTATTTGCCAAAACACATAGGGGAGTAGGGGAGAGGGGTGTAGGGATGATACACTCTAGAGACAGAGATGGTGTAGGGGGTAGGGGTGTAGGGATGTGCAAAAGAGACCAGCAGATAGGATACAAATAAATTATTTAATAAATGTAGCAACCGGTCCACCTGAAAATCCATTTGGCCACCTGAATCTCATACTCAAGTGGCCCGGCCGGCCACCTGAAAAAAAAAGTTAAGGGCAAGCCCTGGCGGGGATGTTCAAGTATGAAGTGCTGTCTGCAGTGGAGACGTGCGCCAAATTCGAGGCCCGGCGCACGTCTCCACAGCGGTCAGCAGATGGTCTGTAGTTTTAGAAGATAACAATGAAGACTTGTTACCTCTGCAACGGAGTTGCAGGGAGGTAATGTGACCCCTCTCCTGTGATGTTCGTGTGTGTGTGTAGCCAGCAGCGAGGCAGCTGTTATACGCTGTAGCGTTGGCGCGATCGATTCAGCACCAGCTGGCCTTAGAACGGGGTTTTGATATTTAAAAAAAAATAATGCAAATTAGGTAGGGTTTGGCAATTATATAGCATATTATATAGACATAAACACTGTGGTGTCACACTCGTCTGGTTTGTTTTACAAGATTTCATTGACAATATCTTTAATGCAAAATTGGTATTTCCGCTCCACCCTGCTGATAAAACGTCTATATTAGAGTAAAGATTTACAAAACATGTCGGAACGCAGCATAACCTATTTATTTCAAACGCCATCGCTACAAAGCGGGTATAGCGCCATCTACGGTCACAAATTGTGATTTATTTTGGTTTATAAATTATTATTGCGATATACAGATGGCAATCGTTTCTATAATGTATGTCGATGGTTGCTCAATTAAAACTGACTTCTTCTTACTCACTCATTTGTGTCCTTTTTTGTGGTGAGCTACAGTGTCATTGACACTTTCATTTGATACAAAACCAAACATATAAACAAACTCATGTTTTCCCTTGTTTGATACAATACATGCGTCGTCTGCAGGCATTCCAAGTTACTCACACGCGCGACGAGTTTACTGACGCTGAAACTGTGCGCGCATCCGCGTTAACTTCCGTTATAAACAACCATGCTACTAACATTGCAGCATACCCCATCAGTACGTGTAATTTCGATAAGATTTTCAGTAAATTTGACTCTTATACTTGGTATGTTTCATTGGGAATATTAAATATGATACTAGATGTCGATAGTGACCAAAAATCGATCTACTTTCGCTTTATTTCTTTGCAATTTGAGTGGTGAAAGTCTGGTATTTTTGCCGAAAATCGACTCGAGATTCCTGTTTACTGCGACCCTCTCTCGCTTTGTGGCCAGTATGTTGCTTCCGGTCGCCGCTGTGTAGCGGCATGGTAGCGCTGACTCATTACGTCAGTACTACAGAGATTACTACATCCAGCGTGAGGTGGGCACAGGTGGGGGTCATCACTATGGCGATCAATAACAGACGTCATTCATTCCATTTATCAATCATTGACGGAAATACGCGAGGTTTCCCGAAGTTATCTCAAAGCGAGAGACAGATGCAGTCAGCAGGTATCTCGAGTCGGTTTTCGGCGAAAATACCAGATTTTCACCGCTCATTAGCTCAGCATAGGGGCATCGTAGGGACATGCGGTTTGTTTTATATTAACAAGGTAGGACAGAGCTCTGATCAATAATACTGCAAAGAATCGTCAAAATAAAACGGGGAAAGTTTATTAATTCAACTAATACTGCAACATGGTTTCAGCATTTCACCGTTGTACGCTCCCTTTCTTTATACGCTCTTGATACTATGAGTATGATTATGAATGGTAATTTGTCAGTTGTAAATCGAAAACAGCTTCACTGCTTCAGTCATAGGGTTATTGCTTTCTAGACTCTTACCGTTACACGTAGAGTCATGACCAGAGTTAGTACGATAAATATTCTAAATTGTAGACTAAAGCTCTAGGCAGAAGTCTGTGTTGAGTCAAAACCCACGCCACAGTCCCAGAGGCAGAAGCTATAGCTTTTCACCTGCTTTCAACCAAGCTGCCATCACTTTAGCCGTTTTAATTATATAAATTATAATTAAATAAACATGTATTGGTTTACTACAAAATTCTTAATGTTTTGTACTCCCAATCGCCCAATATTATATAAATTTCATATAAATGCCATTCAAATCTTTCTCTGCAACACGATTTCACCACGCGCATGTCATTGTGCACAAACTCAAGGAAAGATAGATCTTCTGTCTTTTCAAGTTGAGACTCCATCTATGTTACATTACAACGTTTTCTGTCGCTGCGTTTTTGCACAATGACGTGTGTACGGTGTGGTGTGTTGCAGAGAACCATTTGAACAGCATTTATGTGGAATTATTAGGCGATAGAGAGTACAGAAACATTAGCACTTTAGTAGTAGACCTTGACCAGGACCTCATGTTTCACTTATTCCCACCCAAGGTTTGCATCACATTCCACGTTAGAAGTCCAACCCAGTACAGGCAACCCTTTATCCTTGATCACTTTTCTATAGTATATCCGTGACCAAGTCACGTTGTCTAGAACTTTAGTACACTATTTCACCTAACAAGCTACATTACTAACCACATAATTGACATTCAGCACGTGTACTAGGAGTTGATGCTGATAATATTTTTGTTGTACCCATAATACATTTATGCTATCCTGTGTGTATCGGCCGCAACTGT